TTTGGAATGGAGAAAAACACTTTGAAACCATGTTTTGGAATATTAATCTGAAACCTAGCGCATGAGCGCTGCTACAGTAGCGCCTAGGTGTTGCTATAGTAATCTGTTTCATGATTTTTCCTTTTTTGTTTCCTACTTCGTTTTAGACTCGTATTTTGGGCATTCTACTTCATCAACAACTCTATCAAGAGATCTTGGACGTCCCCTACATGTTCTCTATAAATACTTGGCTCTTCTATACAATTGAGTAACAACAATTACATGTGAGAAAATAGATTACTAGAATTACAAGATTTATTGTAATTTTTTCTCTTTTCCATTATTCTTAGTGCAATAAAATCTCTTAATTTCTCTACCATATTCTTGTCTTCTTCATCCTTTTGCTTGATCAAACACTTTATTATTATTTCCAATATAACTTCAAAATCTCAATCTGATGGTTTGTTCNTTTTATTCTTTTGTTCTTGATCAAATATTTTATTACTTTGCCATGTAACTTTGACATCTCAATCCGGTGATTGGCACTTCTTATGATTTTGTACTGAATTGAATTTAGAAACCAAGAAATTCACATGGAAAAATTCATTTAGGCTGTGTTACTATATGAGACTATGGATAGTGTGGTGAACAAGATTTTTACATTTTTTTAAGAGAAAAAATAAATTGCCACGTACAAACCAATCATCTCTACAAAAATATGTTCTCAAGGGTTAAACAAAGGTAAGAGTTACAGGTGTGAATAGTCAATTGAAAACAACATCCAATGGAGCCGAGGATTCATGCCTCAATCAACCTAAAAACTCACGAGACCAACAAGATGACTTTATAGGAACGAATAGTTAGAAAATTAGAGACAAAACAACATACATGAAACTTTATTTTTTTCAACTTTACTACACAATAACAAAGCATGCACGGAATTATGTGAAGGGCCAACGCAAATTTCTTCCTTGTTGCCTCAACACTGAGGGTGCGTATGATTGTCAATATTTTCTATGAAAAAATGTGTTTTTCACCTAATTTTCTAGTTTTGTACTGTTTGATTGGCAATTTTTTTCAAGGAAAATATTTTCATAGTTTTGATCATGTAATCATATTTTCTTTAAAAACAAGGAAAATATTTTCTTTAGGGAGATGTGGTTTTTATTTTTCAGATAATTCACTCAC